TTTAGCAGCTCTCACAAAATGCTGTGCTAGGTCTATCAGTCTTCTGAGCTGATGGAGAGGCCCCATTCCAGAATCTCCCCCAGGGAAAACAATTAGTGTAGACACTTTGCACAGACAATGAAAAGTTCTATGCATTGCTGTTTTCAGAGGTCCTGATTAGTGACATGATGCATAATAGAACTGATTCATATTAGGACTTACTACTACTTCCAATTTTGTCTTGTAATTTGAAGCCAATGAGTTTTTAAAGCCTTGATAATTTTTGTTGACCTTGGCAAACTCAAGAAGTCCTGGAATTACAGCCTGTCTTAAGTAATGGATGAAGTAGCCTTGGGTTTGGAAGCTCATCAATGAATATACTTAAGGAGCTTTAAGTCCCTCTCTCCTGGACCTTTTAAAGGACAATATAGACAGGTCATTGACACTAAACCTGTGAGTTTCCACTGGTGAACTCTGGTGATGAATGAGGACAGTGCCCTGCAGATGACCCAAGTGCTGTGTGACTGGCAAGCAATATTAGCTGTCTCTTCACAGAACACAGGGATCAGAGTGGCTTGTTGATTTTTGAGCATTTTATTTTAGAATCAGGATTCATTTGTAATTGAAATCTTATGAAGCAGAGGGAAGACCTGGGGTGGTTAGATTTCTTAGTCTAACAGACATGTAGGTGAAACTGTGAGAGTATCCATAGGCACTGAACCGAGTAACTGCAAAAAAGTTTTCTCCAGACAACGGCAGGTGCAAGCATCCATGGATAGATCTCAGCTCTAAAGAATTCTTGAACCCTTGAACAGACTGGTGACCAGGCATGATTGATGGTGCACACCATTAATCCCAGTACTCAGGAGGGAGGGCAGGCTGACCAGTCTGGTCTTCCTAGTGAGACCCCCATCTCTAAAAATAAAGTTGGGGGAGGCATAGTGGTTTTTCACACTTTTTTGACAGTAACACATATGTTCTGAAACACAAGTTTTGTTGATATACGTCTTTATGTCATAAAATAGATTGTCAACACATGGACAGGGGCAGGGATGTTGTGTAAATATAAACCACAGACCTCATTTTGGGAATCAATTTTATTTCCAATAAAACACCTGAGCAATTTTCTGATGGATGGGGCTAACACCTCTTCTGGGAAGTCAGTTATCGTTGTACTCAGTTCATGTCAACCTTGTGAACAAATGGCCCTTAATGTCTTTCAACAAGTCTACCAGTCAAATCTATCAATCCTTAACCAGACTTCATGTTTTCTTTTGTTTAGTTTAATAATGATGTCTCCCTATACATTTCCTGTCAAATTTTCTATTACTAGACACTTGTTAGATGGGCTTAGAGGCCAACTGTTCCCTTGCTGCAACACAATAGCAAAAGCTCTAACTTTGAGCCATAACTAAATTGTCCTGACCTGGCCTCATTTCTTCCTCTTCTTCCCTCCCTCCCTCCCTCTTAAGCAAAAATGATGTGTTCTAATTCTTGTTTGATTTCGTTTTAGATTTTACTTCCTATTATTATTGTATGCAAGCATGGCAACTCTAAGGATGGATGCACTCGTGCCAGTATCCATGTGGAGGTTAGAGGGCAACTTTCCTTTTCTCCTAGACCACGGGTCAAGGAGGTGGACCACAACCATTAGGCTCACTCAGCTTTTACCTGCTCAGCCATCTCACCAGTACCCAATCTGGGTGCTCAGAACTGAACTGGGGTCTTTTGTAAGACAGTAAGTGTTCTTAATAACTTTCTCTCTACACCTGAGCCATCTCTCCAGCTCCTTTGTTTTTAAAACTATTAACCGTGAGCCACTAAATTGATTTCTCCAGCCTTTAGTAGCTTTGACTTGGGACAGTATTTCTGGCAGGTCGGTTTATGAAGACAGAGACATTGTTGCCAGTCATGAAATGAAACCAAAGGAGGAAACCAGGCAAGATGAAAGCACATAGTGGGAAATGGGCAGAAACTGCCTCCTGATGTTTAAAAAGAGAGCTGGGTGGTGGCATCACGCCTTTTAACCCAGCCCTCCAGAGGCAGAGGCAGGAGAATCGCTGAGTTTAAGGCCAGCCTGGTCTACAAAAGTGAATTCCAGGACATCTAGGGCTACATAGAGAAACCCTATCCCAGAAAACAAACAAACAAAAAACCCACAACAACACAAAACCCCACCACTACTACCATAAAATAAAAAACAAAATTAGAAAGATTTAACGTTCAAAGAGGAAACTGATCCCTAAACTTTAAGAATATGTGTGTAGGGGCTGGAGAGTTGGTTCAAGGGTTGAGTGGTGTTCTTACATGGAACCAGAGTTTGGTTCCCAGCACCCATATCAGGCAGTTCACAACTACCTGAAACTCCAGCTCCAGGGAATCCCACTCTCTCTTCTGGCCTCCATGGGAATCAGCACTCACATACACTCACATAAACATGCACATAAATAAAAATTTTTATTTTTTTAAAAAAGAATATGTATGCAATGCAAATAAAATCTGAGCTAAAAATACTTAGTATTCATAAACACATCAGTAAGCAAAACTGAAAGGAAAAGGGAGCAAAGGTTCTGAACAGGCAACTTAGATGGAAGGCGGGAAGGAACCTAGGTGACGATGATGCTGGGTAGTAGACAGGAGAACAGAGACTGGAATGACCAAAGCTGAGAAACTCAGAGGACCCCTGTAGAGTTGAAACTGCAGACTTCTGAGAACGGATGACTGGCTGGTGCTGGCTCTTCAAATAGAAAATTTAAATTCAGCTGCCTCTAAGGGAAGGGAACTGCAGCGGCCAGGGTGAAGTGTGGCTGGTTTCAGGGACTTCACAGGAAGCATAAGGAGGCACTGTGAAGGCAGCAGGCAGGAATCATCCCTGGTCCTCAAGAGAGAATATGACCTACAGTGCCCCCTGGTGGCAGAGTAGCAAAGAGCCACAGAAGGGGTAAACTAACTAATACAGCTAATAGCATTAATAATTGGCATTTATATTTAAGCTCCCATACCCTCCTAATGTTTTTCTACTTATCACAATGTAACTATTTCTCACAGGAAAATGATATTATTACCATCTGCTCAAATAGACACAATAAACCAGGCAAGGTGGCACAAATAATGTAGTCCCAGCACTCAGGTGGTGGAAACAGGAATAGCAAAGTTCAAGGCCAGCCTGGGCTACCTAGTGTGGCTGTTTTGAAGATGAAAGAGAGAAGGTCAATATAGCCATTGTGTCCATCTCAGAGACTGTGATATGTTCCATTCCTGGGCTATAACTACCATAAAGACTTGTGCACAATCTCACCGGATTTTCTGTTACCTAGAAATGAAACTGTAACATTAACCATCAGAAAAATCTGTATTAAATAGGGAGGAAGAATATTCCAGGCAGAGTGCAGTAGTACTCTGGTTAGAATAGCTGAAGAGATGAACCTGAGCTGTGTGACTGCTCCAGCTCCCTGCCAGAGAGAGGCTTTGGCCTGCAGCATGAGGAGGAGGAGCTGTGGTGGAGCCCTTTCACCATCCCGAGTGGAGGAGGAGAAACTGGATTCACAGGGCCTCATACTGAAAACAAGAACGCTGCATAGACAGAGAACTCTAGAGACTGCACATGTGCCCAGCAAGCCCTCAGCTGAGTATTGATCATTGCTCATGTAGGGAAACTGCTTCAGGGCACAAACTGCCAAAGCCCGCATGCACTGAGAACAGGGCTTGTTCCCCCAAGTCAGGGCAGAACATCTCCTATGTTGGGGATATCCAGAGAAGATATAGAAAGTTTCTGCCTCAGAGAACATTAGTCATCCATTTCAAACCAAGAACTCATAAAACAGCTTAAACGTGGATACAAAGAACAAACTGCTTGCAAATAACTTACAAGTGACTAGAACAAAGTATGTTACTGGGGGGTGGGCTTTGAGGTCTCAGAAGCTCAAGACAGGCCTACTGGCTCAGTCTCTTCCTGCTGCCTGCAGATCCTGACGCGCAACTCTGAGCTCCTTTCCAGTGCCATGTCTGCCTGCATGCCACCATACTTCCCACCATGATGACAGTGGACTGAAGCTCTGAAACTGTAAGCCAGCCCGGGTTGAATGTTTTCTTTTATAAGAGTTGCTGTGGTCCTGGTGTCTCTTCACAGCAATGAAGCCTTAAGAGAAGGTAATAAGCAAGCATGCAGAACTAATGTACTGTATACAGGTGGTAAAACAGTCAACAGACTGATCTGATGCTGTTACTGAATGACATACTGTGTGACTTACAATGGGAGAGACAGACTGTTCCTTATTTCTGACACTTTGGGACAGGTTTTCTGATTTTAGTCATGCAATTCTAACCACTGATTACTGTGGGTGGTAACTGCTTAGGCAAGGGAAGCAAAGGCAAAGGTCACAGTAGAGGTTGGGTAAAATATTCAGGGCTTGGATACCTGTACTAGCCATTCTAGGTTGGAAGCAATAGAAAGAATGGGGGAACAGAAATTTTGGAAAGTCTGTATGAAGATGTGAGAACAAACGCCTCATTAAATTGGATTCCTGGTTCTTCCCATGGCCTGAGTAGTTTGGGGGAAAGGAGATCCTGTCAATGCCAATACAGTATATTTTAAATTAAATATACTGTATATGTGTGAGAAGGGTGGGGGAGGCATATGTGTGGAGGTCAGAGGACAACTTTTGGGAGTTTGTTCCTTCCTTCTACCGTGTGAGTCCCTGGAAGCAAACTCGGGTTATCAGACGTGGTGGCAGGCAACTTTATGCTCCAAGCCATCTTACTGGGCTTGCCCTTCCTTTTTCTTCTTTCTTTGTTTTATTTTTTGAACAAGGATCTTGCTTTGTAGCTTTGACTGGTCTGTTATTTATTATGTAGCCCTGGCTGGCCTGGAACTCATAACAATCCTGCATAAGTCTCTCCTAGTCCTGGGATTATGGGTATGTACAAGCCCAGCCATTTTTTTTCAATACAACAGGCAGTAAATATTGTAAACCACCCTCAGATAATATATAAAAAAGATAGTGAGAATAAGAAGTGACTTCTTTATAAGAATTTGCATTTATTTAGTTTTTCAAACTAACCTGGCTGGTACAACTAAAGGCAAGACACAACTATTACCTAGCATAGTAAACCCAGTTATTAGATTGTGCCATTAAAAGCTTTCGTGACTGCAAATGGAGACTACAGCTCTTCATGCATTATTGTTGCACATACTGTCTTTCACATTGCATGGCATGTGTCAGGTTCAGCAGCATTACTTCCTACAGAGAACAACGTGAGGATGAAACACAGCATGGCTAGCAGTAACACACATTTACAAAGTACAACAGCTACATTAACAATTACCTTTATCAACACACACTGTCCTTTGGAAGCTGTGGAATGTATAATAGAGTATCATGGCAAATGAGGGGTTTATCATATCCTTTACTTTTTTGACACTTTCTTCCTCTATGTATCTCTCTTTCCATTCCAGTTTTGAAACATGAATAAGTAAAATGCAGAGAAAGAAACCTAGATTAAAAATCTCTTTTAAGAGACAGACAATAGAGAATCTACCAGAATCCTGTGCCCTTCCTGAAGCATCAATGATCCAGAAGCCAGATATGTCTGGCTTTTCCAGGTCACATTCAGCCAGTCTTCCAGATACTACTAAAAGAGGAAACAGAAGCAAGAATCCTTGTTAATGGAGAAAAGTAAGGAGGAACAAACACATTTCTGACATTATTTCCAGGCTAGAAATGAAAGATGATACAGTATTAAATATTTCTTTATAAATCTTTGGTTTATTTGTTACATTAGACACATATCACTTTTGTAATAAGATTAATGAGGAACCCTGCTAAAGAGAAGCAACTGCTTTGTTCACTTGTATTTAAGGCACAGTTGGCATATTAAAAAGAATTAGTAAACTGGAAGAAACTGACATTCTAAAGGCTAATTTTTGTTAATAGTAGTTTTATGAGGCGGAGAGCCATCAGAGTAGCCTTGGGGTGTGGTGGTTATAGCATCTATAACAGTTGTAACATTTCTTCTGACCTAAGCCACCATTCTAGGGGACAGCCCAGTGCACTCCCTGAGATTAAAAAGTGCCTGGAAGTAGCAAGTGCTCTAACTAACAAGGAGTCCTGCTTAATCAAAGTCATTTGCAGTCTTCTGTTCTAGGGGTAAATGTCACACACACTTGAGGAGAGGTGGCGGGGTTCCTACAGAGCACATATCCTCTTCCTCTTTGAGCTCTTGCTCTGCTCCTCACCAGAAGATACTGTTACCACTTCCAGTACTGTACTTTAGGCTTCCCACAATCCTGCTATGCAGAAGTGAGGGTTTTGCTCAGATGGCCAAGCTCTAGCAAAGTTACTAGAACCTTCCATGTTTCTCAACTTCACCACTGCCGACTTCCTCAGCACAGCTGTTCTTTGTTGTACAGCATAGGATGTTAGCAGCATCCGGGGCTTCTAGGTACTTGAGGCTTAGCAGTAGCACTTTCCATGCTGTCTCCAAATACACATGCCTCTGTCAACTATCCCAGGAGACAAAATCACTCCAACTAGGGTACCATCGCACTAATGATGGAAAGACAGTTTTAAAATGTAAACTGCATCCCACTTTTACTCCCTTGCATCATTTTTCTTGATGCTCTCAGAATAAAATTCAAACTCTTTGCTCTCAATACTAAATTCTCATATTCTAACTGGTCTTTCTGTTCCATAAACATCTTCAGTCTGTTCCCACCGACCTGTTATGCTGGCTTTTCCTCCCGTCTAGAATGCACGCCCATCCAGATCCTGGTATGGCTCATTGTTCACTCACGCAATTAGCAGAGCTTTCCCTGACCATATTCTCTAAAGAAACTCCCTGCTCTCTACCAGACACCTTTTCCTTCACAGGAGCACAAGAGAACTTAGCTTTCCCCTATGTTTCTGCCTCTTCACTAGAGGGAGATCTTAGTCTTTTCCACTGTTATTGCTGACATGCTCTGACTAGTACCTAGCACACAGTAGGTATTCAGTAATCATCCTCTGTCAACCTCACCCCTCAGGTCAGGTGTCAGTGGCTTCCTTTTCACTTTCCCTTCCAAGAGTATTTTTTATTAATTGACTTGCCTTCTTTTTTCTAACACCCCCTGACCTATTAAAAAAAAAGCCTGTAAGTGGAGCACTGTGTATAAAAACTTAACATAGGAAAGCTTATTATGAAATACAAATAAAGGCCAATTAATAATCCACGAAAGACAATTCTTTGCTCTGTAGGTTTCAAGCACTATATAATCAAGCCATTCTAGAGGGACCTCAGGCTACAAAACTTACCTGGTGCAGAGACTCAAAGAGCCTCTTTGCCCATCGGCCGAGTATATACAGTACTACAAGTCTGAAACGCTTTGGTGCTGGCTTCAAGTTAAATGGTACACTCGTCAATAGCAGGGTGGTCTAAGGTGCTGCAATCTCAATACTCGTTGGCAGCTCCCAGAAACCGCAGCGTTTCTTACATTGATTTAGTGGCTGTTTCCATGAAACCAAAGATGCTTGGCTCTCCTGGAAGCTGGCTGGCTGGCAACTGGAAACACTTCAGTCCTGGCTAAGGGCCATGGCCCTTGGGTAGCACTTCATCGGGCCATTTTGGCACTCTGGCGAGCGGCTTGCTTGTCCCGCCTGGCTGGGCTCTCTACACGGTGCACAGTCGTCTCCACCCGCAGGGATGACGACGCCCTGACGTGGCTGGAGGACGTCTCCGTGCACTGCGAGGAGGTTTCCACGTGCTGGGAGGAAACCTCGAGGAATCTAGGGAGTCGCTTCGCGGAGGAGGTGAGGGAGGGTCCCTCTCGGAGGCGCTGAGAGGTCTCCACCTGACGGGAAGATGTTCGAACCTGCCGGGAGGACGTCTCCACGCGGTGGGATGACGTTTCCTCGCGGTGGGACGATGTCTCCACGCGGACAGTCGACGTTTCCTTGTGGCGGGTGCTTTCCACTCGCGGGGCGAAGGATTTGCTCCTAAGGGGCGAGGCCATCCCGCTGGTACACCCAGGTCAGGGGGGACAAAGAGGCCCAAGACTCATGCTGTGTGTCAGGTCACATAAGGAATGGTGACGTCGAGGTGGTGAGCTACGTCAGTGTACTGCAGGACACATAAGGTCTGCAAGTAACGAGATCTTCCAGCACGCCGCCCTGCCCAATAACTGCACGCGCTGCGGGCCCAGGCCACACAGATAGGCGGGGCTTCTCTTCTCAAAATGAGGCTTTCCCCGCCCTCCCGTCCCAGCATGCCCCGCGACAGGAAATAAGAGCCGTGACTTCCGGATCCTCCCTCACCGTTTGAAGCTGCGGTTCGGTCGGCCTGGTTGTGTTCGTGTCTCTCTCTGGTTATGGCCGCGGCCGTCGCTATGGAGACAGGTGCGTGGTGCCCTGCGCCTGGAGTCTTCACGGAGCGAACGGTCCCCTCCCCGCCCCTGACCTTCTCTCCCGTTTTCCTGCGCCGTCTTTCGGTCTTAACTCGGCATGCTTAGGGAGTTGGGATCGGCGGGGGAGAAGGCGGTGTTGTCTCTGGTTGTGGCCCGTGTGAACATCTTTGCTCCTGGGCTACTCAAACCTCCACTCCTTGGTTCCCGGGCCGGGGTGGCACTGAGGGAGAGGACCGAGCCCTTCAACTGTCTACTCTTTGGAGCTTTTCCCGTGAACTTGGTTAAAATGTTTGTAATGTGTATCGTTCTGATACGGATTACCATCTCCGCTCCGCTGTTTTTTGTTTGTTTGTTTGTTTTTGTTTTACGAGACAGAGATCCGCCTGCCTCTGCCTCCCGAGTGCTGGGATTAAAGGCGTGTGCCCCCACCGCCGGGCTCCGCTCCGCTGTTTAATCATTTTGCATCTTGCTTTCTGCTTTTATTTAGCACTTTGTTTTTGCTTAACGTAATCACTGTTAGTAGTTGTGGTTATAACGCTAACAAAGGGGATGGCACAGCTATTACAGACTGTCCTCCCATAGTGGCCTACAGGTGGTAAATAGCCATTCTATTTATCTTCCTCATCTAACTTTAGATAATTTCTTTATTATCTTTGTTTTGTTTTGGAGATAGGGTCTCACTATGTACTACTGTCTGGCCTGGAACTGGCAATGTAGACCAGTCTGGCCTGGAATTCACGGAGATCCTCCTGCCTTCCCCTCCCAAGTACTGGGATTAAAGGTGTGTGCCACTCGGCTTGTTTTGTTTTAAATCAGAAGTCTCTCCTGCAGTTTGGTATTTGTTTCATAGATTCATTCATATGGGGGTGGGCGGTGCATGCCGAGGTCAGAGGGCAGCTTGCAGGAGTTCGTTGTCTCTTCCTGCAACCCTGCGGGTTCCAGGGATCGAACTCAGGTTATCAGACTTTTCTGTAAGCACCTTTACATGCTGAGCCATCTCACTTGTAGTTTAGTTTTGTTTCTACAAATCATTCATATCGTGGCTTTTATTTTGGGTGTTTATTACTGTGTTTTTCTCCTAGATGATGCTGGAAATCGACTTCGGTTTCAGTTGGAGTTGGAATTTGTTCAATGTTTAGCCAACCCAAATTACCTTAATTGTAAGTCGAGTACATCATTAAGTTGAGTAGCTTGCTGTCATGATTTCTGACAGAAGAGATGTAATTCATAATAGTATTTACTTAAGTATGTTTGAATGGGATTTTACTTTCGATGGTCTGTAGGTATTAACTAAACAAACAAGGTCTTGTGTTTTTTAATTCTTTGTGTTTTGATTGTAGGGACGTTAAAAGAGCTACTTTATTTTAGAGATTACAAGTCAGTAGTCCAGCAATTGGTTGACATACAGATTGTTTCTTTATGCCTTTCAGTTCTTGCCCAAAGAGGTTACTTCAAAGACAAAGCTTTTGTTAATTATCTTAAGTACTTGCTTTACTGGAAAGAACCAGAATATGCCAAGTATCTAAAGTAAGTTTAATTTTTATAATCTTAAATCTGTGTGTACTTTATTATAAATACTGAAGTGCTGATATTTAGCAGTTTTCTCAGTGTCAGAATGGGAAACTATGTTTTGAATCTTTCTGCTTTTAGTTAATGTAATACATTGTCCTCTCTAACTTGAATTGTTACAGTAATCTCGCTTATTTCTGCTATCATTCTTACCTCACTCCCTTCAAACCAAACAAAACCAAACAGTTGTCTGTCAAAGCCAACTTACTCTCTTAGTAATCTAAATCAGAACATGCCACTTCTATTCATCCAGTAACTAGTTTTAGAGTAAGGCTCTGATTTGATTTGGTCTGTCTAACCTTGTCATTTAACATTCCCCTTGTCTCTTTGGGTTTCCAATGCCTATCAACCCATAAACTACTAAAATGCAGTGGCATAGTCATAAACTGAAAATAAACACACAAGAAGGAGTGTTTTCTGGGAGTCTTAGACTTACTGCCCTTCTTTATAGTTTCCTATGTGTCAAGTACTGTGCTAAATGTATTGTGCACATTAACTCACTGTAAACAGAAGACAAACATGAACAGTATCAACTTGTTTGATAGACAATTTTATTATAGGATTTCCTGAATTGTACAACTACACAGCTATCCCTTTTAATGATAAAACAAAACCTTGAACTCACCCCTCTGCTTTGTTTTTAAAAAAAAAAAAAGGAAAAACAAGCTGGTATATACCATTAATCCCCCAGCATTTGAGAGGCTGAGGTGGATGGATCCCCGAGTTCAAGGCCAGCCTGGTCTACATACAAAGCTACTTCCAGGACAGCTAGGACTACACAAGTAAACCCCGTTTTAACTCCCTCTCCCCTAAAAGGGTGGACAACAGCAAAAAAAAAAAAAAAAAAAAAAAACAGAAATTTTAGTCCGATGCCCCTTTAATCCCAGCTCTCAGGAAGCAGAAGCAGGTAGATCTCTGTGAGTTCTAGGCCAGCTTGGTTATGTAGCAAGTTTCAGGCCAATTAGGGCTACTTAGACAGGCCCTATCTTAAAAATTAGAGGGAAACATTTCAAGCCTTTTCTTTATATCCTAGTCACTTTTCTGAATTGATCCTGGACTGCCTGTAGAACTGATTGCACCAGATTTGCTCTTCATGATACAATTCTTGATTCCTTTAGGAATTTGAAGGAGAGACTTAAGTTATTAGGAGGTTGTAACATTAGTGCTAGCAGATTTACACACTGGGTATTAAAAGGCTTAGTCACCTTCAACTCAAGTTCAGTCTTACCAGCAGAGTTGTTGGACAGTAACTATCTGTACTCTGGTTGGAGGCCTCCAGTGAGCATATGTCACTCTATTAGAGGAAGTTTACTCCACTGATAGCCAGAGATTAGACAACTCTTCCTTATATTGTTATCAGACAGACCTCCTTGTAGCTCTAACCTGTTTGTAGATTCTTTTTTCTGTGCCCTCTGGAGATGGTAGTTATAGATGTTTAAATTCAAGAGAGATTGTGAATTAACTCCTGTTGGTCAGTTTCACTGTTATTTGCACAAGGTCTTAGATTTTTAAAATTATTGCCAAAATTTAAAGATGGGAAGGATTTATGTAACAGAATTCCAACTCTTGGACCTTGGGAAGAGCTGAGGCCTTCTTTTTTACAGGTCAGCAGCTGGTTGCAGCTGAGGAATGCTGTCCCATCTAGGAGTCCCAGCATGTGGCCTGCTTACTGATAGCTAGTACAATCTTAAACGGTTCTCAGGTGCCTTCAGTAAGTTTTTTAGTGTCATGGTTTCCAATATTTTCAGGAACCCTTCGATTATCTGGCAATTCAACAAAGAACTAAACATAGGCCAAGCAAAGTAGTGCTTGCCTTTAACCCCTGCACTTGGAAGGAGCAGGGGGAAATCTTTTGAGTGGGAGGCTAACCTGATTTATATAATGAGACCCTGGCTCAAGATCAGATAATTTGGGAGGCGGGTGGCTAGAGAGATGGGTTAGTACTTAGAGCACTTGCTGCTCTTGCAGAGGATTCAGGTTTGGGTCTCAGCACCCAGTGGTGGTCACATCCATCCAAAACTCCAGTTCCATAAGTTCTGATGCCTTTTGGCTATAAAAGCACTGTACATACATGATACATAGAGATAAGCAACAACACGCCCATGCATATAATATAAGTAAAAATTTAAAAACAAACTAAACATAGGCCTTCAAATGTGGTCAGGGTAACACAGACCACATGGTATTTTTCTTCTTGTGATAATTTAACATAGGCTGACTACTTTATTTGAGTGGAAGACGTTTGGTAGTCAAATCGTTGACTTCTGGGAGCTTTATTCCAACTAAAATCCACCAGTTATTTTCATGAATTGAATGCTGTCACTTGACTTCTCTGTTTATGTCTTGTTTATTTTCCAAAAGTCAAAATGTGAGTCTTCCCTTTGTACCTCTTCTATTTCATTCTGTATACTTGGAGTTAGTGTGTTGTAGCCTGTCAGAATATGTGTAGGCTAATGTATTAAGAATGTTGTTTTCTGAGCCGGGCGTTGGTGGCGCACGCCTTTAATCCCAGCACTCGGGAGGCAGAGGTAGGCGGATCTCTGTGAGTTCGAGGCCAGCCTGGTCTACAGAGCTAGTTCCAGGACAGCCTCCAAAACAATACAGAGAAACCCTGTCTCGAAAAACCAAAAAAAAAAAAAAAAAAGAATGTTGTTTTCTATAAAATTGATAAGTAAATGATCACTGCCTAAATTCTAGTTAATGACTAAATACTATTTAAGGCCATTTACTTGCAGGTCATATTATTTTGCATATAAAGAAACTTAAGAGGTTGAAATGTCTTTAAAGCCATCTACCTGCTACTCAGAGCTCAATCTTTTAAATTACTGATGTGCCATGAAAGGGAACTAGATAGTATAGTGGGAATAGGGCATTCTGGGCTAAGCTATTACAAAGAACTCTTTATTTGAAATATAAATAATAAGCCATTACTGGAAGGGAAGCATAGCATTGGTTCTGCAGTAGCAGCCATAGCCATTCCTACCCCCCACTCCTGTGTGCCCCCCCATAGCTCCTTCTCATTTTCTTATCACCTCCTCATCTCCCTTCCTCCTTTTAAAAGCTCCAGGACAAAATTATTAGCATTTACAAGAAAATACCCCAGAGCAAAGCTGCCAAAGGAGAATGGAAGGGAGAAGAAGAAAAAAAAACCATGCCCCTTGAGTTCAGCTGACATGGAAGGCAGTGGGAAAGGATGGAGGCAAAGAAAAGTATGGAACCTCAAAGTGTTATGGGAGGCATGCTTAGCAGAGAGAGAGCAAGAAGAGAAAGTGTAACTGTCCCTTGACTTTTCTGAGTAATTCCAAAAGACAGGCAGAAGCTGCACTGGAATGAGACTGCCAGGATCTTTGTTTTGATAGAATATTAATATTCGTCTACTCTGTATCCTATGGACCCCATTAGATTCTGTCTGTTGTCCTATCTGTGGCCTGTATCTAGTGTGGCATCCAGTCTAGGGTTTATGTTACATTTTTGTCATCCTGTTTTCTTAGTCTTGAATTCTCTCTGCTTCCCTCTCCCCTCCTTCACTCTCCTACTTCCCACTTCCTCTCTCTAACTCTGTTTCTCTTTCTTAGGCTGACCAAATGCTGACTTGCTACTTTGTTACTTTGTCCTTCTTCTGTGTCATAATCCAGAGATAGGTGAAGTCTGTTTGTCTCAGTAGTGATGATGTTAATTTTGATCCCTTGTGTTAGGTGGTACCTTCAGGATTTCTCCACATCAAGTTACTGTTTTGTATTTAATAAGTAACTTGTGGGGAAAATACTTTGAGACTATATAGACATCTTGTTACAGAAATTTTATTCACTGAATTTTTTTTTTCCCCAGACAGGGTTTCTCTGTGTTACAGCCCTGGCTGTCCTGGAATACATTTTGTAGACCAGGCTGGCTTTGTAACTCACAGAGATCCTCCTGCCTCTGTCTCCTAAGTGCTGGGATTAAAGGCGTGCACCACCACCTGGCAATTTTAGCATTTTTTAATCAAGTAATAATTTAGGTTAACCTACAAAATGATGGGTTCATAATGACATCGTCATACATGTGTCATTTTACTTTGCTCTCGTTTGTTCACTTTTCCCTAATTTTAGCACTATTGCAAATACTTGCCTCAGTTTTTTCTGTGGAATTTTCTATCATTCTATATTTACTAGTCAGAATTCTGTAGCAAGGGAAAGCATTCCCCTGTTACTCAAACATGTATATATCAGTATGAACTTTTGGATTCTTGTTTTTATCCAGTGACTACAGTCATCTTTTCTTGGCTCTAATTATTCCAGCAGGATTGGCTGCTGTGGCACCTTTAGATTGGCTCTTATATACTTCTGACATCCACATCCATGTTTAGCACTTCTTTTTGACATGTTGTACCCTGCGTTCGTGCTATACTTTGTCCATTCTAGCCCTGGAATTAGTTGTTTCAAGGAACTGTGGAAAATGCTATTTGAGAACAAAGCTCTAGAGACTCAAGTGTGCTCATTGATATTACAGTGTTTTTGTTTGTAAGCCCTTGTGCATACAAAGCTTTCGTATGTATGTATATGTTTGTATATGCACACATACATATCTATGGCTGTTTCTATGTGTTTGTGTTAAAAGCCATGAGGATGAAGCTGGATAGGTCATTAGGTTAAGAGCACTGACTGTTCTTCTGAAGGACCCAGGTTGATACCCAGTACCCACATGGTTGTTTACAACCATCTAGTCTGAGGGGATCCAATGCCCTTTTCTTCTGACCTTCATGGGTACTGCATGCCTGTGATACATAGACTTACATGCAGGGACAACACTCATAAACATAAAATAATTTTTAAAAAGGCCATGAGAACATACTGTTTGAAGTTCCAGTTCAGCGACGCAGCATGCGTTCTACTTTCCCCTCTCCTTATCCTTTTTTTGATGATCATATTTAGCTTCTTTTACCCTGTTGTACTTGTCTTTGCTCAATCCTAGACTAAACATGATTTCTTGTTATAATTCCCATGGATAATTAGAGCACGATATTTATTCATGGTTTTCTCAAGTTTCCTGAGTATTTACTAAACATGTAACTATTTTCAAAGTCTTCAGAGCCCATGAGATAGCTCAGTGGGTAAAGAAAGGTGCTTGCCTGCAAGCCTGATGACCTGAGTTTGATGTCTGAGACCCCCGCCATGGTGACCTCCACAAGTATCCCATGGCATGTCTTCACTCTCCTTCTCACACAAACACTAAATAAATAAATGAAATAAAAATTTTTAAATTAAAAAGTATTCATGCATGTTCCTCACTTGGAAAACTAAAAGAGTATGGTTTATCTACCAACTTTGACATTGCTTACCAGTTTACTGAGTTGTGTGGTCTTGCCAAGTTACTTAAGGTTTTCAAACTTTAATTTTGTATGTTCTGAAATAACATGGTGGGAGTAACATTACCAAAGGTATGGTTTAATAGAAATTGTAGGCTTAAGATCATTTTTAGTGGAGTATCTGCATTAGAACTTGGGATGCCTTAAGTTATGTTGATAATTAACTTATGAACTTAAACCCAGGTACCCTCAGTGTTTACACATGTTAGAACTGCTCCAGTATGAACACTTTCGAAAGGAGCTGGTGAATGCTCAGTGTGCGAAATTCATTGATGAACAGCAGATTCTACACTGGCAGCACTATTCCCGGAAGCGGATGCGTCTTCAGCAAGCCCTTGCAGAGCAACAACAGCAGAATAACACAGCAGGAAAATGAAGAGCTGGGGACAGTCCAGGCTCTTGGGACATGTATAATGTATTGCTATTGTACAGTACTGGTAAAGGAAGACTCTTCTGCCCACCTTTATTATGGAGCACTCAGAACCATTAGTGTTATTTTTGGTCAGCAAGTTTTATATTGTTAATAGATTATTTGTTAAACCAGAATTGTTCTTTTTTGATTTCTCTGGGGATTTGTAAATTTCTGTTGCATTTAACAGAACCAAGTGAATAAGAATGTAAATGTTAGGTCTTATAGAGCAGTTTAAGAATATGGTGTGACATACAGTGGTACCCTGAGCCAAATCATCTCTAGGAACCTTACTGAGATTAGCTCATCTGCCCCCTACCCTCCTCTCACCTCATTTTCAGGAGAGGGGTCCTGGAATCAAGAAGCTCTAAACTCAGAGCAAGAACTACATGAAGGTTCCTTCTTTCTGCAGTAAGGACATATTCAATTGCTTCCTGCTCTGTAAGTGGCTTAAGGATAGCTACTAGGTCTGGCTCACATGCTGCTTTTTTTAGTGTATGAATGTTTGGCCTATACAATGGTATGTACCACTTGCATGCCTGGTGCTCTCAGAAGACAGTACCAGATCCCCTGGGTGGAAGTTACAGTTGTGAGCTTCCGTATGGGTTCTGGGACTCGAACCCAGGTCCTCTGGAAGAGCAGCCAGCGCTCTTAACCACTGAACTACCTCTTCAGTCCACATTATTTATAGAATAATAGTTGGGCTTTTCATTTGTGACAAGGTCTGGTTGGTCACAATGCCTGACACAATTCTTTTTTGAAGAAACTGAGATTTAGACAGTAACTTGCCTTGGCTTGGAGAACCAGCCTGTCTTATTCCAAGAGAATTACATTTCAGACAGTTGTGAATCAAAACTGCCTGAATTAAGCATATGCATTCCATATGGGGTCTCTAAATGGTTTAGTGAAATTCTTCATTCCAAAGACAGGAAAGGGTTTTGCAAATACATAGAATTTAAGGTACTAATAGCTACAGATTTGGATGTTAAATTATGTCTTCAATATTTCCTCTGAGCTACTACTGCCATATTGATGGTGTATGTTACAAAGCTTATTGGAAGTTTGTATTTTAATTCTTTATTGTTTAGACATACACTGATCAAAGCAAGTATGTGGCTTTTTTTAGGCAAACCAGGAAATCAACACAATTGTGATCATCAAATCTTTTGCTTGTTTTTGTAGACAGGATTTCTTTGTATATCCCTGGCAGTCCTGGAACTTGATCTGTAGACCATGCTGGCCTTGAACTCACCAATCCACCTGCCTTTGCCTCCCAAGTGCTGGGACTAAAAGCATGCTCTACCGCCACCCAATGCTATCATTAAATCTTAATCTTCGGAGAACATCATTTCCACGAGGTTGGACTGACAGCACTCAGATTCCACAAGTTTTTGGGGCTGCAAAAACAAAACAAAAAAAGTTAAGTTTTAAGCACTGCTATGAATGTTACCAGGGGTGGAGTGAATTCTACTTTAAATGACACTTTTTGAACACAAAATGTTGCCATCAGAAACTATCAGCTAGCCGGGCCTGGTGACACACACCTTTAATCCCAGCACTCCAAAGGCCAGCCTGGTCTACCAAGTAAGTTCTACAAGACAGTCAGGGCTACACAAAAAAACCCTTTTCTTGGGGGGAGGGGGGAGCTATCAGCTAGTTGTAACAAGTTAAGATATTTGTCTTAAGATGAATCATTAAATACTTGGCCCAAAGGGCCTTAAACTTCCATACCAGGAAGCCCCATAGACTGAAAACAAGAGCTGGCAAGCCCAGTGCCATCTCTTTCTCTCTCTTTAATTTAGGATCCTAGGGGCAGGGCTGAAAAATGGAGTTAGAAAGCAATGACATAGTTGCTTCCAGGAGTGAGCCAACTTTCTTTTGAACTCTGAATCTTAAAAGTGGCAGGAAAGCATTAATAATACTTCATTGGGATTGACTGGGGAATGGGTACCAGCTTGTGTTTCTGATGAACTATGAACAACCATGTGATGTTGAAACTCAAATGTCGATGGGGGGTGGTGGCACACTGAGGCCAGCCTGGTCTACAAAGCAAGTTCCAAGACTGTTACACAGAGGAACTCTGACTCAAAAAACAAAAAAAAGAAAAAAGAAAAAAAAGGAAAAATTAAATGTCATGATCTTCTCAAACATAACTGTAAACAACTTGAGTTTTAACTGTTTTAGCCACAACATAAAGGTGGGTACTCACTGTTCCGTATTTAAGGAGTGTAGGCACTGCAGTTACTTTCAGTTTTTGTCTGAAGTCATTATTTGGGTCTTTCCAGCTATTCCAAAAAGAAAAGGATAATGAAAAATACTTCTTAGTTTATTACGTTTATTCAACAGTAGTTCTATATTTAGTGTATTAGTAATTACTGCTTTTGTTAACGTTTAAACATTTTGAAGATTGAAACTTATGTATCATGCTCTACAAAAGTTTACATTTAAAGTGTGGCTAAGGTAGCCGGGGTTGTGGCACACTCCTTTAATCCCAGCACTTGGGAGGCAGAGGCAGGCGGATCTCTTTGAGTTTGAGGCCAGCCTGGTCTACAAAGCTACACAGGGAAACCCTGTCTCAAAAACAAACAGGAAAAAAAAATTTGTGGCTAAGATAAGGCAAAAATGTAAAGTCAATAAATTCTGATCTTATTCCATACCAAATTCACTGATGGTATTATGTGGCTAAACATAAATGTTAAACTTGAATTCAATAATTCTAATTGTTTGGCTTATCAGACATTACCTAAAATACAGAGCCTGAGCATTTAAATATGAGATCCATTCAGCCTAAGTTTATAAGAATCTGGAGATAATGGTATATACATGATCACTTACTAAGGTCTGTCTCCTACTTGGCAGTAGATGAACACACAGTCTTCAGTAACATGCTTCAGCCCCTCTCGAACGACTGGCTCAGCTTTTTAAAAAAGTTAAAAGTAGTTACATATCAACTGCGATAGCCCTAGCCCTGCCCCCATCTCTCCTCCTTTCTCCAGTCTTAGTAGACTTTAACCTGCAATAGAGTGAGGATGTTAGTCAGATGTTCTCTTTTGGACTCGAGAATCACTAAGTCGTAGTCTTGACTGTCCTTAAGACACACCCAGAACATCGGAAAGCAAACGATGGAAAGACGAACTTGTGAGTCCCGTAAGACACTAATCATTTGGAGAACTGAGAATTTTAAAGAAATCAGGCTCCAGTCCATGAGGGCCACTCTTGTGTGGCGAATAAGGACCTAATGAGAAACTTCTGCGGGTCTACGGGAACAAGATAATTTTTTGCCTCCACAATCCCACTTTCTGGCTTTAGTAGGGGCCTTCCTCCCACCACTTGTGCGGTGTAGCAACCTGCAGTCCCGGTCTTACCTTCCACGCAGTCCGGACACCAGCTCTTCCCTTCCGCATCCTTAGAACCGCTGAAGTAGGCGAAAATGGTCTTGCCCTTGTGCTCCTTCACAGCCTGGTCGAACTCCTCAAAGCCGGACACTTTCACCTCCTTGAAGGTGGCCATGGGTACAGTCCAGAGAGTTGCGTGGAAGGCGCTCTGGGTCCTGCCGCCTCAAGGCGGAGCCCAAGTAGGGCGTGGACAAGTTTCCGGGTGGGAGGTACCGCTGGAGCTGTGAGGTGCTACGGGAGCCTCGGAAGGCCATAACTCATTAGGACAGTCATTTTGGTCTACCGGAGTTTCTTTTTGGCGCCAACTCCCTTCTGACATCTAGACTTCTGACCTGGTCTGGTCCCCACCTTGGCCTCATGGACAGTGACTACAAAACCCGCCGTAGTACAACACCTTGATCCTCAAATGATTCAGGAAGCTCAACGGTCCCCAAGCGGCCACGCTCCTGTTGCTATGGCGACTGGGAGAGAGGCCGGAAGCTAGGCCTAGCTTGGGGTTGCCTATCCGCCTTCTGGTCGCCGCGCCTCGCCCAGACCAGGTGGGCTCCGGCGGGAGCTGGGGGAATTCTGGGAAGCTGCTTTAGGCAGACGTGGGGGACAAGCGAGAGGAGCCCCTGCCCAGGGCTTGTCTTGCAGCTCCACCCCTCCAATTACCTTTCCATTCGTCAGGCTTTAGGGGGGCCGGGGGTGGGGGCGGCGTCCGGGACTGGGCGTGGGTACGGAGAGAGCTAGGAGGCTGAAAGGCAGCGAGGGCTGGATCCGAGTGTTGTGAGTGTGTGTACGGGGCACGCTGTCTAGGGGTACAGGTGCAAAGACAGCGTGCCCGAGGTTGTGCTGGGGAAAGGAATTGTCCGGGAGCTGCGAACCCGGCGGTGGGCCTCGGGGCCCTTGCCCGAGCCGCGCAGGTGTACGCTGACAGCCAAGATGCCGGCTCATTGCGTGGTGGCTAGCAGGTCGCGGCGGGGTCTTCGGTCCCGGTGGACAAGGAGGTGGGGTGCAAGGATGTCCCCAGGCTATAGAGTAAGGCGCCGGGCAAAGTCTTCAGTGCGGCGGATGCGCTGTGCAAGCATAGGGAGGCTGCAGGACAGTCGGAGGCCTTTGGGGGGGAGACGAACGGAGCCCGTGGTGCTCCCTGGGATGAACAAGGCCTTTAGGACACCTGGGACTGCAGGCTCAGTTAAGACAGCAATGGACCCCGGGGCAGTGTGGGTGAACGGGGCTGTGGTCGAGCCCGAGGTGATTGGGCCTGCTGGGTCTGTGTGGGTGACCAGATCTGGGAAGGAGGAGCCAGATGACAGTAGTCCACCAAGCTGTGAGAGAAAAGGTCGACCAGGAACACTTGGCCATGAGAGCATCCTGGAACTGTGGCTGAAGGTGCGGGCTATGAGGGTAGCTTCAGGATGTTGGGAAGGAAGCCGAGTGGAGCTCCATCCTATTCCTGAGGGAGAGGGGCCAGTCGAAAAGGGTGTTCCCGGGCGAGCTTCCTGGATAGAGACCAGCCGAGGTGGTGTTACAGGACCCTGGGTGAGAGGACATGCTAGGGCATTCCCCCGGGCCTCAGGACTACCCTCAGCTAGGGGAATAGGAGTAGGTTGTGAGAGACTCTCCATCTTCTCTAGGCAGGGACAAGCTGGAGAGATGTCTCCTGCTGTGGGTGGACCTGGGGTAGAGGAGAAGATGGGCTGTGCTGCCTTGGGCCCTTGGGAAGAAAGACAAACTGTGGGGGTACCTGTGGCCATTGGATGGTCTGAGGCTGTGGAAAGGACCCGACCTGGAGAAGTGAGGGAATGTGGGGGTAACCTGGGTCCATGTCGGGAAGGGCATTCTGTGCAGGTTTCTGGGGCTCTGGCAGAAGAAGCTGTGCATGAGCATACCTTATGGGAAAGGGGGAAAATTGTAGGGCCACCTACTACCTTGATGGTACTACCCAGGGCTATGGGAGATGAAACTACCTCTCAGGGGCCTCTGGGGTTGTGGCAAAGGGGACAAAAGGTGGAAGATATGGGTTCTGGGGGTATTCCTGGCCTGAGGGCCATGGGACAGATGGTAGGAGTGCCTTGTGCTAGAGAAGAGGGAGCCAGATGTGGAGGTGACCCAGGGTCATGGGGAGCTGCACAGGCTGCAGCGCTGTCTGCCTCTGAGGAGCTGGAGGCAGGTTCTCAAGGTACCCAGGGCCTGTGGGGTATAGAACAGGCAACGGGAGCACCCAGGGCTTTGGGAAAAGAGGCAGATGAAGCAAGTGTTCCAGAACTGTGGGGAACAGGACAGCTGCTGGGCTCGCTGCCTGTGGTGGTGTCAGGAGACAGGGGAGAAGAAGCCAGCTGGGATGCTTCAGGACTGTGGGAGAGGCAGCAGGCTCTAGGGGCCCCTCTGGCTGACGCATTACCAGGGCCAGTTATGGATGAAACACACAGTGGGGATCTAAGCCTGCGGGAAAGAAGGCAGGTTATGGAGCAGCACAAGATCCAGGGACCTGACACTTTAGGGATACCTGGGGCTGTGGATCAAGATGCCAGTTATGGAGCTCTCTCATGTCTGTGTGGAAGGAGGCCGTCTGTGGGGGTGTTTGAGACAGTTGTAATGCCAAAACGCAGGTGTGCCACAGAAAGAGTACCCTCAGCTCTAGGTGTACCTGCTACCTTGTGGGTGTGTCAGGAAAGCAGCCCTGTGGATGCCAGGAACCTGCAGGGAAGGGGTCATGTTGCCTCTGGGAGGCCCATGGTTCCTGAGGAGGGCTCATCTGTGGTAGAGGATACTGAGTCTAGGACTCTCTCAGGTTCTCAGGGAAGGAGACAAGCCAGTGGGGTTCCCATGATTCCTGAGATACCCGATTCTCTGGCATTAGAGGGTGTATCCAGAGGTTTCTCAGGCTTGTCAGGAAGGAGACTAACTGTAGATATGCCTGTGGCTGCAGGGGTATCCCCTGTTGGTATGAGCGTGGCTGCCAGGACATCTAGTTCTGTGTGGGAGCATATTAGCTCTAGGAGAGTCTCAGACTCAACAGAAAGTAGGCCACCTACAGGGGTATCCATGACTGTGGGGCTCCCTGAGGCCACAGGGGATGAGACACTAGCTGAGGGTTTACAAAGAATACAGTCTGCCTCAGTGCCTGTGTCTGCTAGAATTGCCACAACTGTGGGAAAGCCCACAGCTTCTGGGCTCTTGGGGCCTCACAGGCTGGTGGATAGTGCCTGTGGAGAAAGCTTGGGGATATGGCAAAGAAGACAAATAACTGATTTGCCGACTGCTGCCAGAGTCCCTAAACCTGAGATGGAGGCAGGCTCTGAAGGTGTCTCTGATCTGTGGAGGGGACACAGTGGGACAGTTCCTGAGGTAGTGAGGGGGGCATTGCATCAAGGGATGCTTGCAGCTGTTGGGGTGGGACGTGTTCCTGCTGCAGTGTGGGAGACTGGCTGCCCCAGAGAGGAGGCAAATGGAGGTGTCTCTGACCTGACAATGGTTAGGAGACAGCCCACTGAGGAAGTAAGGGCGTCAGGGGAGGAAACAGAGAATACAGGGATCCTTGGACTTGCAGGGAGGGGCCAGGCTGTGGGGATGTCTTATGCCCATGAGCTTGGTGCCAGGATGTGGAGCAGTCCAAGATCTGGGGGGGAGGAAACAACCTATGAGAATGTTCCCAGAGTATCTGCAATGAGAACAACTGTGCCTTCAGTTTCAAGGGAGGAAATAGGCCTTGGCCATTTCAGAGATAATCTTCGGGGGAATGGGGGCAGAGCCACAGGAGGAGTTCCCGAAGCTAGAGTGAGAGTGAAGGATTTCGGAGAGAGGAGGGAGGGTGGATTGAGGGGCACCTTCCAGTAGCGATGTGTAAAGCAAATTGGAAATTGTCCTGGGATTCTGGGAGGGAAGTGGTTGGGAAATGGTTTGTCTAGGATATAAGTGAAAGAACAGATTAGTGTAGGGACCTCATGGTTCCTGGAGAGATACTTTGTGGCAATGTCTCGGTGTGCAGGGAAACTACCTGGGAGACTTCTGGAAAGATGGGGAATGCACTGCAAGGAGAGGGCTATCCCAGGACTTTGTATAGGGGAGTGGTGGGGTGGGTGTCCCTGAACCTGTGTGTGAATGTGTGTGTGACTGGTGACTTAAGGTGTACAGCCCCAACTCTGCAGCTCCTTCCGTGGCTTCAGCTCCAGCCCTGTGACACTGGCAGGCCAGTTGGCATTGCCTTCCTTGTGTGCTCCTCTCTGCCTCCTGGATTGTGTCTCTAGTTTAGAAACAAGGAGTTGTGTACAGCTGTCCTATGTTCCTACAAATGCATCTGCCGTAGAGGACCCAGTCCAAACTTTGGATTTATTTTTTTTTAATTTAAGCTAGCTTTTTTCTGTCTTAACCTTGAATTTCCCAGTTGATTTACTATAGGATTCTTTGAGAGATCAAGTTCTCCGTGTACTTAAAACTTACAGTTTCTCAGAAAATTGTTCAGCACAACCGTGTTGAGTTAAATTGTTTACTGTGTTCAAGTACTGATTGTGGGGAATAAAGGAGTGACAAGGCCCTCAAGTCTCAAGGAGCCTTGTCCAGCTGGAAAGCTGAGACACAGACCTTGAAATAGGTAAATAACTATGTGTGAGGATATGGTTAGTCCCTGAGTGGTAGGGCCATCCAAGTATGTTAAGTGTCTTCAGAATAGAAGAATGAGGGTGGTGTCCTTATAGATTCTTCAGTAGCTGTGGGCTCACTGCCAGTGTATACATGGTATGGATGATGGCCAGGTAAACACCTAGATTCTTCAGTAGCTGTGGGCTCACTGGGAATGTATGTAGGGTGCAGATGATGGGGGAGCTAAACACATAGAGAGCCTATTCCACTGGTTAAACCCCAGCTTTATTTAGAGTCACTCGGAATTTTGTCTGAGCTACTTAACAGAGGAACACATTCTGCTCTTTTGACCAGTCATTAGGATCTATGCATATAGAACATGTCCATGAAACTGTCCAGTCACAATAATAGTTTATCATAACAGAACTAATGTCTTACTGCAGACCCTTGGGATTTGAAATGAAAATGGTCTGAGGGACTATCATTAAAATAGTAGCTCCCTATCCTTTTGAAAATGAGAATTTCAAAAGTGGTTGCTTCTATAAATATAAGAAAGTCCTCTTTCTAAGCAGTTATTCTTGCATGAGGTTACTGTGGGTTAATTCTGGGATGCTGCTACATAAGCATGGGG